TTACATACTACATCAATAATAGACACATATTTATCCTTTGATAGACTATTGACTAAATTTGGAGTATATATATACTACTACTATAGATATATATACTACTAATATAGACAATCTCCTATTAAAATGTCCAACGCATAATAATCTCCTACAGTTTTACAGCAGAAGTTAATAAATGAATGTTAACATTTCAAGTCTATCGTCTATTGAATTACGAACTTACTCCTTTTTCGGGACAGCCAAGGCAGTGATAAATTGTTTCAAGAATTGCCTTCAAGCTCCAAAAGTTACTGGAAAAATGATTCTGACAACAATTAAAATATATTCTATTGAAATGATTTATTTCACTCTAAATATATGTAGAGGGAGTGTGTAATTCTAAATCATTTTGAATTTCGTACTATACGGAGAAATTTAATCTTTAGTGAAATGATTTGATATTACTTCTATAGCCGTCTGCTTACATATAAAATTTATTTCGATACATTGTTAATCCTGAGCGGCTCTATGTTGAAACGATCGCTTAGATCCTGCAGAATGGAGACTGTGCACGGCAGCAATGGTAGGCCGCCTTGATCATCCACCATTTGCATATGCTGCAATTCCTTGTCACCTGGCAGCCATGGAGGCTGCGCAGGATCGCACGGTATGACGCTGCGCAGCAGCTGATGGAAATCAGCGAGCCTTTCCTCGAAGGAGACACAAAAACGCATGGGATCAATCGCTATGTAGACCTGGCCCAGGTCAGCCTGTTCCCTCTCCCAACTAAAAAGTCCGCGTCGTCGCAATTGCGATGCGTATCGGGCGCCAGTCATGACCCCGCAGAGTATATCCACCATGGCGGCCAATCCGAAGCCCTTATGCTCGGGCGTAAAGGCCCGCAGACGTTGGGCACGCAGCGCTTCGACGATGCAGGTTGTCGGCATGCCATGGCAATTGAGCGCCACATTGTCGGGCAAGTCGTGCAAATACCCATTGGAATACTCCAGCTCCAGCTGCTCAATGGGATAGGCGGACATGCCCACTTCCATGAGGAGCTGTTCGCGAGTGCTGCCCGCCGCACAGGCAATCGAGTTTCGACCCAGCAAAGGCTCGACGCCGCCGTTGGGCACCAGGGTGGCTGGTCCATTCGACATGCAGATGCCGATCATACGATGGGACAGCGCTTGACTGGCATACCACGACTCCAGCCCAATTGAGTTGGAGTGGCATGCTGCCACGTAGCCAAGGCCCTGCTTGCGAGCCTTATCCATGGCCAAGTCCATGCAATAGTTGGCCACCACCGGCCCCGGCGCATTCTGGCCGTCCACCAGGGCCAGCGCGTCTCGCTCGCTCAGCACCTTCGGCTGCATGTGTGGGTCGATCGTAAGGTTGTGTAGGTCCACCGTAATGGCAGGCAGCTGATGTATGCCCATGCTCCGCTGACCCATGTAGTCGGCAGCAATTAGAGCATCGGCCATTTCGCCAGCTGCCTCATGCGGCACATCCATGGCCGCAAACACGTCACGCACAAATCGCTGCGCCTCCAGCACATCTACAAGGACTTCCTTATTCTCACAATTTGCTATGGTTGCCTGCGGCTCTCGGTATCCTCTGCACATGAGTAACACACGCTTCAGATTCTCCCAGAGTAGGTCTGAGCCTGGCCTGCCATATCTTGGATCGGGCGCGTTGCATTTTGTCCCACTATTGTTTGCCTCGCTCGCAGACTGCCCGCCACACGGCTGAAATATCTCTTTAGTGGTGCTGGTGCTGGCTAAGGTGTCCGTGCTGGGCAGGGGCCGCACTTTTCGTAATGTGTCGAGAAAGTACAGTACTTTTCGCATTGCAGTCTATATCGTCGAAATTCAACTTCAATAATGATTAGAGCAGCGCTGGGAACTTTCATTCAAATTTAATGTTACGTCAAAACAAGCATACATATTATGTCAAGTAGCGGTTTCCCGTATGGCAAACGGACAGAGGGACAGACGTCGCTTTGTGAACTGAACCACTCTGCCTATTGCTTACATTTGTAACAAACCCGCACCAAGAACTGCTTAGGTATGCTGTAATTATTTTGATTTATTCAATAGAACTTCTGAAAATTAGAAACATATAAAAACTGGCAATATACGAAGTGCACATGACATTATGAGGGTGAAATTGGTTAAGGGAAATTATTCTTCAGCACAATAATCATCGTAATGTTCCATATACTGATTAATAAAATCTCTGTGGGTGTAAATGTCTGTGACTTCAATACTATTCGAGCAATTATCTGTATCTAATCCACGTTTTGCATGGCTCACCACGCCGTACAAACAGATGAAGGAACTGTTTTGGGAATATCTTCCATGGAAACCACCCATATAGCCACTTCCACTGTCTCCCGCACATATACTAGAATAACTTCTGAGCTCTACGGTAAATAAATCCGACATTGGCGACGGGTCTTGCGGTACTATCTCGACAATTGCTAAGGTTAGGTTAGCAGACGATGTCAGAGTTGTCGTTTCCCATGAAACGATATCACCGGTAATGTGGAGCAGCATGCTCGGATTGTAATCATTATTAAAAATCCAAGGCAGACAAATCACTTTTGGATCATAGGCTTTGTTACTTCACGGCAATTTAATCTGAGCAATGCCCCACCTAAGGGGTCTGTAGTATATCCCCTGAAAATGGATTGAATTATGAGATTCATCCAAAAGTTGAGCTGATATTGACTTACCCATAGATGGTTATGCGATCTACTCGATCAAGACCATGGTCTTTGTCCATTATAGTATGTACCGATGTCGCATTTCCCCTTTCGAATCATTTGAGAGCAGCAGTCAGCACCAAGTTTCTTTTTATTCGAGTTCCAATGCATTGACGACTGAAGATTTTTCCGTTCGATATGTGAATCGGAACCGTCCAAGGTGACAAATGAGACGACAGCTTAAGTGCATTTTTACTTGTAAATGTGTAATTTGCCTCAATGTTGCCGCAAACCTCTGTACAATAGTCCTTCAACGCTGATCTGTCAGTCCAGGTGCCATCCTCTTGACATGTCACATTCAACGGATTTGGCGATTTCCGCGAACCAATTTTGCAATCGAACGTCACAACAGTTCCGGCCGGCATCATCTCCTGACAGTAAAACATATTTTGGCTTGGATTGGAGCAGTGCGGGACTAGCATGTCGTAGCAGGATATTTGGGTGCCTCTACGTTAAGATAAAAGAACTTTTAATTAGAGTACCTATTCTCCCTATTTAATCGCGCTTACTTTTACAATCTATATCCTCGTCGAAGCCTTTTTTTATCCATTCCTCATTATCGCATTGCAATTGAGAATTATTCGCCTTGGAGGGCACTAGTTTGGTATTGACCTTGCAAGAGAACTGTACAATCATATTAGTTATGGGCGGCTTAACTTCCGTGTTACATTTTGGAGGCTCGCACTTCATTATTATTAGATTCTCGTCATATTTGTCGATTACGCATCCATTCGTACCATTCGTGTTTGGATTGGTATTCGGTTTCTTTATTGAACATCGCGTATTATTCTTTCGCCATTCACCCGTTATTAAGCATACATCCCATTTAATGCCGTACATATTGCTACTGAGGTATTTGATTTGGATATACGAAACGATGAGTTCATATGGTATGAAGTTTCACCGTCGAATTTCAGGCCCCTATTTATTGGCTCCACACACGGTTTTGGAGCGTTTCCCTTCCATTTTTCATTGTCTGCACAAATTATCGGTATTTTATCGGAGCCATCAATGCAATCGAATTTGTTATCGCAGCATTGACTCTTGCTTATCCAGATGCCATTTGCGCATTGATAGTCGCCCTCACTACCAACCTTCCCCATACATAGATTCGCTGATTTATCTCGCCCATCCTCCATTTTATGGCATTCACCAGAATAGCACTGAATTTAGCCTCTACAAAAGGAAGTGATAATTTTTAATAAATTTTTCAAGGTTCATTTCGTCATGGAGCTAAAAATGCCACCAGTCTTGTATATTCGTAAGAATGTTACCCGAAATAAATCAAATTACAAATAAAATAATAATAACTGCATCGAATATTCGCCAATTTGCAAATGCATGGACAATTGTGGCCGGAATAGGGCCTGCAAAAAATGTTTAGTCTCTGGCTTTTATAAATACATTTTATCCAAATGACGCATGGAAAGTCATTTGGATAAAATATGTACTTTATGAGGTCTGCCACGCCTCCTGCCTGTTCAATTCAACGAAACCAAAACACTGCATTGCCATAGCTATATATGTATTCTTAAGTTGATTTCACAGTGAAGAGATATCAACAATAATATATTGAATGGCTGAGACTTTCAGTGGGCTTTACCGTATATAGCTTTATTTCGTACTCAGCACAGTCTCCACGTATGGTGGCGTTGTGAATTACACAGTTGGCATGTTCATCCGATCCGTCGGCGCAGTCGATAACGTCGTTACACTCTTTATGATAAAGAATATCAGCACCTTATGCACAAGGAAAAGATCTGGGTACATCCACATTTTTGCACACCATGAATGACTGAATTCAACACTTCCGGCTTCCAAAAAATAAACATATATAATAAATATACATATTTGCACCAATTGAATCATGATATATCGGACAAACTGTATTTCTGAAATAATTTAGCGCTATATCAGTGTATAAAAGTGAATTAGTTAGTAGAAGACAGAGTACCAAATGTTATTATTTTCTCTTATATATTATTTTTTTTTTATTTTGCAGTGAATTTCATTGCACTCGGAGCTGACTTTAAACTAAATACAGAACTTATATATAACCCTATAATTTCTTTTTTATATTTTTCTTTAAAATTGCTTAAAATTCTTATTATTGTTATTACCTGAATCCATTGAAAATAGGAAATCTGGGTATGAGGATTGTATGTAACAGGCAGAAGAAGGTGTTGCAGACCCCATATCGTATATATTCATGGTCAAGGCTATCAACTCTGTCCATCTGAGAGAAATATAACAAATTTGCGAGCGAGCATTTTAATAACTTGAAATAAATTGCAACTCTGCGCGAGCTCAACCGATCTAGGCTGGGCATTATAACTGAAGCCGAAAGAAATGTTTCACCAAAAACCGTCACCCGATAAGAGTCAGCTCGGCCTTGATGCCATGCTAATCAGCAAAAGTTTATGCTCGTTCCGTCTTTAGTATAGCTCTAGATTATATACTATATATAGTTTATATTGAAAGCAAATGTATATGAAAAATTTTTGTCTATTTCAGTTCCGAGAAAAATATTGGAAAATGAGTACTATGCACTTGAAATCAGACAATCAAGGCCACGCCTGTCAAGTAGTCGACTATAGATAGTGTATTCCACACGGAAGCTTTGACAACACAATTCCACGATATTCAAGTTCGTTAAGGAGAATCGAGACTCGCAGATCATGTGGAATAGCCCCCGGTCAATGCTGCAGCTGCGCCTGTTGCGCTTGATGCTGCTGTTATCGGTTGCATCAGTTGGCTGGTTTGATCACGCTACAGCCTCCACGCACGATGTCTACAACGGAGCGCGACCGGGACATCGGATCGTGCAGACCCGATATGGACGCTTACATGGAATGATTCTGCCGTTGGACAACTTTCGCTATCTACGATCAGTGGAAGTGTTCTTAGGCGTGCCCTATGCCACGCCTCCGATCAAACAAAACCGGTACGTGCCCCAAGGAGTAAATGGAATTTTAAAGATCTAAAGCCTTCTCTCTTAACTCTCTCGATATGCACTGTAGATTCAGTCCAACTCGTGCTCCAGCACCGTGGGACGGAATACGTATCTCCGATAAATACAGTCCCGTTTGCCCGCAACGGTTGCCCAATATACAAAATGAGACAGCCGCCTTGGAGAAGATGCCAAAGGGACGCCTGGAGTACCTGAAAAGGTTGCTGCCATTTTTAGAAAATCAATCCGAAGATTGCCTATACCTCAATATATTTTCGCCTGTTAATGGTAAGTCTCTAATGTAGATGCGTCAATTTTCGTATTACAGTCAAGTCTCAATAATTTCAAAATTGCGATAAGTCGAAAAAGGCATGCGATTTCGAATTATAGGGACTCGGCTAATATATAATAAAAACAAGTAAGAAAGCTCTAGTCGAGACTGCTCGACTACGAGATCCCCTGAACCCTTGGAGTGTTAGCTATTTCAATMATTTTTCGCGTCTTTCACAAACACGTACGCACACACAGGCATACATACACACACACGCATGCAGACACAAACGCATACACACACTCACATACACACACACATACACAAACACATACACACACATACACAAACACATACACACACAAGCACCCACGCATAAACACGCATGGGCTGCAGTGTGCGCTTACTATGAGAACTTAATTGTTTAATAACTTTTTTTATGGACGTACGATCTTCATGAAACTTTCAGATTATGATTATAACATGGATATGCATGTAATTGCCAAAGCACAAGTCTCTAGTATTTGAAATACGCTTTTTACAAAAGTGAGGGTGAGGGGGTGAATTTAAGGGTGGGGGGTAAATTTTAACAAAAACCGAAATTGTATAAATTGCATATAAGCATACATTAAAAATTTGGAGACTCTAGCAATAAAGGTGTAGAAGATATAATTTTATAACTGGTTTTCGATAAGGTTTTTTATCGATAAAAAAAGATCGGGATGAGTTATCGAATTTTAATGATAAACTTGATATGCGCGCTGTAATTACGGACATTTTAAAAAAAATTTGAAGTCTCTAGCTCTTATATCTTCTGAAATCGACGCGTTCATACATACGGACAGACGGACAGACGGACAGACGGACAGAC